GCCCCGCCCCCCCCACCTCCGTTAACTCCTGCGCCGCCGCCCCGGCCGCGGGAGGGAAGGGGAGGAGAGGAGGGGGAAGAAAGAGGAGGGAGGGTCAGGCTGCGCCACCCCGCCGACCTCTTCCCGCCCCTCCGGCCACGTGTGCCCCGACGAGGGGATCCGGCCCCCTAGTCCCCTCTGGGGTGGGCAGGACCGGGCAAGCACACGCCTGAGCAGAGACCCCAGCTCTCCCTGGGATCCCCAGGCGGTGCGGTGCCGGGGCCTGGCCCCAGGTGAATTCTTACCAGCTGGGCCCGGACTGGACCCCTTGGAGCCGGGGAGGCCAGGCTCTGTGTTAGAAGGCCCAGCTCCCCGGGACCTTATGCTCCTGGCCTCTAGATGGGCCAGGCATGAGGACGCTTTAGACCCCAGGCCCTTGGTTGTGCAGGGAGGCCTCTGTGGAGACTTCCTTCCTAAGAGGTAGCGTGAACTGGGCCTTGGAGAGGATGTCCCCGCGGGGGAGACAGCTGGGGAAAGGTGGGGGTTTGCAGAGGCTTCTCGGCAGGAAGGAGGGTCAGGAAGCTCAGACCTGAGAGACACCCTGGGGAGCCTTGAAGTCCCCCAAGGGGCCTGGGATTTGTTCTGCAGACCCCAAAGAGGCCCGAGGCAGGGGCAGGGGGTTGGAGAGTGGGCCCCAGGGCAAGACCTAGGCCTCAGGAGAGCAGGCTCTGGACGCAGATGGCAGCATGTCCCCTTGGCGGGGAGTGGGCAGAGTTGGCCTCCCCTGTGGCTGTGGGTGTCCTGGGGGGTCACTCAGGAACCTGCTGCTGGAAGACCAGAGGGCTCATTCCTCAGCTCCCGAGGGGCCCCTGCACACTCGATGCTGTCAGCTCCTCACGATGCCCCCCCTGGACCCCCCCCATCTGCACACCTAGGATGGTGTTGGCTTCAGGGGCCCCTCCTGACTACACCCAGACCCCTCCCACATTCACCTGGCATCGTGGGATGTACCAAGCGAAAGGCCCTGTTTAGTAGCTGGTGATGCCCTCACCGGTAACGGCTGCTAACACAGGACCCCTGGCGCCAGGTCAGCTGTGTCCTTTGCCCTTTGGGTTCCAAAGGCATTGGCGTGGTTTTGGTTTTCTTCAGTTGGGCAGAAAGCATAATGGACAGTGCAGGCACAGGGCTAAGTCATCTAGAATGTTGGGGAGACCACAGCGCATGCCACACCCACACCTGTGCACACAGGTGCATCCCAGGGGCCACACTCCTGACCCCCACCTCCCTGCCTCCAGGCCTGCTCACTAGCTACAATCTTCAGCGTTAGGTGGGTTCTCCCCCGCTGAGCCCAGGCCGAGGGAGGAGACGGAGGCCCTGGATTGCGAACGGGAAGAAGGGGCCACTGCGTCCCGCGCGCACTGGGTCTGCACGGGGGTGACGTCTGGGGGACACACATGCTCAGTCCTCAGAAACTGGGCGAAACACCTGGGACTCAGACGTGCAGACACCACGAGGGCTGGGCCACCCCCTCCTGCTGAGGGGAGGCCTCCCAGACCCTGGGGTGCCACCTGGGCTGGGCATGGTCCCTCCCTGGGGGAGCCCCTCCCCAGGGTTGGATGGAGAGCAACGTGAGCCCACGGTTAGCGTGGCTCACCGAGGATGAAGGTGTCACCTGTGCAGGGGCATTGAGACAGCAGCAAGGTTTGGGCTCGGCGTTCCAGGGCACTGAGCAGGAAGAAAGGACGGCACGTCCCTGAGGTCCGAGGGGCTCCTGGCTGCCTTCATGACCCCCTGGGGGAGGCGGTGCTGAGAGGGAGCCCCCACCCGGCTGGAAGGGGACTGGGCTCGGTTGCATGCATCCCCCACCTCCCCGAGCCCCTGCTCGCTTGTCTACGGTGGCGTTGGCACCAAGAGCTTCACCGCATCTCTTGGAGGTTCCGGAAGGCGAACACCGCGTCAAGGTTTGAAAACCTCTGCTTCCTCTGTTTAGGGTGTCCTTTCCGTGATCATTTGTGTTTTCAATTTTGTGTCTTGCACACCACGGGCTGTGCACTGTTAGCAGTCTGGTCCCCAGCGCCCCCACCCCTGCCACCTACGCAAAGCAGGTCGTTGCAAAGTCAGTCGGGGTGAATTTCATGCAAGTGACAGAAATTCCATTTATTTAAAAATAGATGGGAAAAGCTTTCAGGCTCAAGCCATCTTTGCCAAGACTGCACTGACGGGATCCAGAGAAGGGGAGTGGAAAAATTCGGATGCACGCGATGCCCAGCCCCAGTTTGGGGAGAAAGCTTCCACTGGGACTCTGGGGCGGCCGCTGCCCACGCCAGGCGCTGTCCTTTCAGCACCACCCCAGAACCTTCTGAGCCCAGCCCAGTCTTCTTTTGCCCTCTCCCCTGGCCTCCTCCTCCTGTCCGCCACATCACCCGCTACACTGAGCTGTCACATCAGAGGCCAGCTCAGAGTCTCACCCCCTGCCCCCCAGTACTCCTGTGTGTTCCCTTCCTGTGGGGGAGCTCACCACGCAGGGCTGTGACCTTGCTTCCTGGCCCGGCTCCCCTGCCTTTGGGTGCATCTCACTCACCGTCGTGTCCCCCAGAGCCTGGCACAGATGAGGCCCACGCTGTGAGGTCAGGGCATGTCACAGCGGCTGGTGTCGGAGGCCATATGGAAGCATCTGGATCATCCCCTCTTTGGGAAACTTCATGGTGACCCTTCCCACGGCTCAGACCACGGGCTCAGCATTTCCCGGGAAGCCGCTTCTCCACAAGCCCAGGGGTTGTGACTCTAGCTTCGCAACAGACAGACAGTGGAACCAGAAGACTTCAGAGCACAGGGGAGTGAGTGGAGAGGACGCAGGCTTCCCCTGGCCATCCGTCCCGTCCGTCTGTCTGAGGGCCACCAGCGGCAAGGTCCCGCAGGCCGTCCCCGGGGGAGGCAGCTCTGGCACCCTGCTGTGGGATCCCTTTTTGTTCAGCCCCGTCTGATGCTTTGTTGACACCTGTGGTCACCAAAAAGATACTTACATCCCAGTGTTCAGCCATGCTCAAGTTCATGGCCAGTGACCACGTGGACATGGGGGGCAGACCCTGAAAAGCAGAGTTTCCTGTTTCACCACCACCCCATTTCCTCCCGGTAGAAAAGAAGCAAGCTGCTTCCCCAACCACACCGCCTCCAGAAAAACAGATGGTCCCCCAGAGGCCCAGAGGGAAAACTCCACCAGGCTGAGAAACAAGACAATTTGGGGAAATGAGAAGAGACAGGTTCTCAATCACATAACCTGGGTCAGGGCTGTTGTCGTCTTAGTGCTATGATTTGGGCAACAGGAAGCACCTACCCAGACAGAGAGTCCCACCCCCTCCAAGGAATTTTCCGTTATTAGGAGGAAGGGCTGTATTATTTATCCAGCTCATGGAGGGAAAAAAGAAGTGAGGAAAAATTCAAGATATGAAAGCATTGATTTTTTTTTAAACATCTTGCACTAAAGTCAATATAAATTTAATTTATAGGGTTTTCTTTTAAAGGCTCAGAACCCTCAACAAGCTTCCCGAGCCCCAGCTAATTGCACGCGGGAGCTGACCTGCATTTCTCAGCCGCCAATAACACCTTGACACTAGGAGTCCATGGTCGCCTGTGGCAGCGGAGACAGGCTGGGCAGCAGAGGTGGCCCTGGAGGCGTCCAGATGGGTGGGAACCATCGTGTGGGTTCTGGGCTCTCAAGGGGGCCCCCCTTGGCCATCTGCCCTCAGGCCCCACCCCCACTCTCTGCGGGGGACCCGTTTCCAGGAGCAAGGGGTGCGGGGGGTTTGTTTGGGAGGCTGTGCCTTTTGTCATCTCTGAGGTGTGATCCAGGCCCCACCAGCGCTCTCTCTCTCCGAGTCAATGCTCCCATGACCCACTTTCCTCGCCGTGGCCTCTTTACCTGTGTGACCTGGCCCGGCGGTCGCAGACCCCCACCTCTCTACCCCACGTCCCTTCCTCCCAGCTCCCCGCCCTGGGCACACGACAGCTTCAAGGACCCTCAAGCAGGTAAAGGGGGCTTTGAATATACTCTTCCCTCTGGCAGGAATGCTGTTCCCTCCATTAGCACCCGAAGGTCCCTGTGGTTCTCAGGGAGGCCCTGCTTGTGGATCTCCCCTGAGGTGTGACTCCAGCCCCAGCTCTCAGGTTCCCCATCACAGTCTGAAACTGTGTTACTTATTGGCTCACCACCTGTTCATCCCCCAACCCCACTAGACAGGGAGCTCAAGAGGAGGATGGTGCCACACTCAGCCCCGTGTACGCCCATGGGCCCGTGCACACACATATAGCCTCATGCACATGCACACAGCCCCGTGCACACTCTCACGGCCCCTGGCCCAGCCCACAGAAGCTGCTCGTCAACATTCCCTGACTGAGTGAACACATTTTTCTAGAGCTAGATGTTGCTTGGAGCCTCTAGCCAGGATGTGTCCCTGATGACCGGCCTGGGGCTTGTGTGGCTTAGGGTCTGCCCAGGTAGACCACAGGCAGATGTGAGCTGGAGTGCGATGCCGTGGAGACAGGCTGCCCACCAGCAGAGCGGTCAGCCACCCTGCCCACACACGGGCGTGGGCATCTGGGTCCTGGCTGCCAGCC